AATTTCGTAACCAGGAAATTGTGGCTTTTCCAGAGATCTTTTGCTTCCAAAAATATTCAGGACATTTTCTGCATTAGTGACATATGTTATTATTATTATTACCCTTGCTAACTTGTTTCATTCTTAGGATTCATATACGTTAAATAAACACACAGTGCATCCGACTCGGTATCCAGGCTTGTCAGAAATGCCAGCAGGCAGTCAGGAATTGCCAGGAGTGCATAAAGCACATGGATGGTGAACACTGGTGAAAGGAGGTGGACAAGCAGGGCTGGAGACCAGTGTCTTCTCATTCCCGAGGCACAAACACGTCGTAAACGCGGTGCACATTTCCACCACTCGTCCCCCATCCCACACAGACCTGGAGGGTGGCTCAGTCCCAGCCCCAGCAATGCAGCCAGCCCACCAGCAGGACAGTATGTCACTTTATATGTCTTATTACAGAATGAAACGATAGCAGCCGTTCATCTCTGTGCTGATTAGGGGGCAGAGGGATCCATTTCCACCACTGTTAATTTTCTGCAAAACCAGGTCACCAGCGCAGGACCCGGCCAAGAGGCACGAGAGCCGCAGATGCTCCCTCCGAGGCCGGAGATGCCAACCCCTGCCCAGCCCCACGCCACTGAGCCTTGGACCCCTCGTGCCCCGTGCCTGTACCTCCAACTGCTCTATCACCCACACTGCCTGATTTTCAGTGAGCCACCTCTCTCAGGGCCAACCAGTCAGATAAATGAAGCTGCGAGCGTCTCTACCGTCCAAACGCTCGTGAGTTCAATAAAACACTGGGTTTTCTAGCTTGTATTTTACCCACAACAGGGGAGATTCAATGGTATACACAACATTTTTTTTATGCAAAGGCTCTCAAAACACAGTTGTAAATGGATGCTGCAGCATGTGCGAAGACATGGAAAATGCTTGGTTGAATGTTATCAAAAAAATCCAGATCTCTGCTGCAAAAGGGTTAATGGCACCATATGGTAACACACAGCGTGAGGTGCCGCTTTTCAATCACCGTCCCTTCATCACATTTCTGAGGAGAGGTTTGGGGCTCACCTGAGATGTTTGTTTCAAACAACAAACAGCACAGCGTCCCCGCGAAACCCTGATCCTCGCTCAGTCCCATCCAGCAGTCACCGCCTGTCCCTTTCTTCATCAGCCATCCACCCGAGACGCACGGGCAGCACGCAGGAGGGCTGATGGAGGACCACGCGGGAGGACCACTCCACTGCCTGCAGCCTGGACATGGCCCAGCATGCCTTTAAAGTAACTCCCAGCCCGAATCCAAAGGACACCTAGATATCTGTCAGCGCTCCCTGGTGCTCTGGACTTTAAAATGGCAGGCATGGACCACCACGGCTCTGTGCAGTTACACTCTCAACCAGTCCATAGTGCACAATCTCACAAAAAAAAACCAAAAATAAAAATAAACATAGTATCAAGAACCTGCCTCTCCCCAGACCTGGTTTATGGAGGGGAAGGCTGCACGCCATTTTCCCTTTGCAGAGCTCGATGAACAGTGGCAGAGGAGGAAGGGGCGCAGAAGCAAGCCTGGCTTTAAGGGCGTGCAGGTGTGTGGCACACGCTAGTGTGCACCAACCTCTTTTACAATATAACAGAGTGCCTAGTGATTAACATTTTTGTCTCATTTAGAGAAGGATCCAACACATTCAGTCAACGCTGATTGAACCTAAGTGTAAACGAACACAAGTCCGACAGTCCCTCTGTGGTTTCAGATGTTATCCTTCTCCAGGGTATCTTGAACGCTGTCTATTTTTGATAGCCTAATCTCACAACACCAGATTTCTGTGCTGGGGCTCCCCCTCCACCATGATGCTCAGCCAGGCAGCAAGCCCAGGTAGCCCTCCTCTCCCTGGGGAGGGCCAACCCGGTCCTGGCAGAGCCAGGGTCTCACCCAGAGAGCTGGAGGACTCAGGGAGTGTCACAGCACAACCTTCTCACCTGGGACCGCGTTTCCAACAAGGGCCCATACCTGCCCATTTTTAGTCACAAAAAACCCCTAAAGCGGAACATGGCGCCCCGCCAATGTGCCACACGTGGCCTTGTTTTAGGTGCAATTACCCCCGACACAGGCACAGAGGAGCCTGAGCCCCCTGGAAGCAAAGCTGAGGGGTGGCACAGGGACCCCCACCCAGGAGGCTGCTGGAGAAACCCACCGCCATCACGGTGAGCTCCATGCTGGCCACCAGTGTCCGAAACAGCCGGCACCTGCCTTCATTACAAATTTGATTAGGAAAGGGAGAGACTTCTACAAATACCCCAGTGAGGATATTTTGGATGTAAACCACACAACTTTCATCTTAGGTCTCTTAACCCATTATTCCCCACACACACCTCCAGTGTCCCCAAAGGTGAGGACATGGTGATGCCCCTGCCACAATTTGCCATTAGAGGGCAACGAAGAACTTTGCAAGATGTCCCCAGCCTCTTCCCTCAACACTCGTGCCCTCTCTGTAACACCTCACGGCATGCAGCTGGAAAAAGGGGCCCAGAGTACCACCAAATGTAGCTCACCGGGAAGCCGGGAAGCCAAAAGGGTGGCTCGCCATGCCAGGAAATGGTATCCTCTTCCCTGCCTGGATCCTTCCCAATGCTCACCCCTCAGATGACCACCGTTCGGCCCTCTCCAGGATGCGAAACAGGTTTACTGGCTTTGTTCTTCTCCTTCTTCGCAAGCCAGAGAGGTAGGGAGCAAGGTTTCAGGACACCAGCAGAAACGCTTAGATGACTTCCAAGGTTTATAGACAAAAGAACAGAAAATACCACACAGGACGAGTCCCCCACAGCCAGCCCAGCAACCCTTACGACGATTCACTACAACATGCACAATCCTATTCACAGTAGATTTTTTTATTATCATCATCATCATTATTATTATTATTATTACTACTCCTCCTACTACCATGAGACTGGTAGCTCCTCACTTCGTTAATATCACTTCTGCAAAAGTGAGAATTCCTTTTGGCGGCCGAACTCTCTCCCCTAATATTCTCAACATATTTTACAGACAAAGTTTCAGGGTCTGCTTTACAGACTATTTAGAAAATATCATTTAAGAGCAACCTCTGGACCCTTTTTCCTTTCAGACCTAAGTTGAAAACCAGCACAGGAGGGTAAGAGTTAATTTCCTCAAGCTGTTACATTAATTTACATCCTCAGTCCTTCACTAAGTAAAAACAGGCGAAAACGGTGTAATGAGTGATACCAACAGAAAATAGCAGTCAAAATTTTCATCCACACTAAAAACATACATTCTGTACAAAATCTATTCCTGGAAGTACTTTTATCCACGCACCATAATTACGTGGACAGATACAAATATTTCACACCCCATACGCTGTATTACGGTGCTTTTACAGACATCTGCTTCATGCTGCTCTAATTTACAGCGGATGGCCAGCACCCACCAGGGATGCCAGGGCTGCCGGGGAGCTGTGACAGATCGCAGATATGCAGCCCTTTATTGCCCAAGCACGTCCCCTCAGATGGCCAGACGCTGGAAGGGTGGCACACTGTCACCTCCCGTCCCCTCGGGATCCTCGCAGTGTTGGGCTACGCAGTGCAGGTTAGAACAGTCCTGCGCTGCTTCTCTGCTTACCCTCTCCAAGCAATGGGAAGCAGACTCATCCCAACCCGGGGGTGGACTGAGTGTTGTGCAAGGAGCTATTCAGATACTTGATTACTCCAGATTGCAAATTTCCTTCACGGCGTTTCCATCCGCTCATCCCTCCTATCTTGCTGTAGAGTTTAGGAGTGAATCAGCAGCAGCTGCACGTTGCAAAGGGTGGATCCGCTCTGAGGTGGGAGTTTGCACATTGAGGCTGTGATCTAACTGCTTCTGCCTGCCCTGCTGCCAACTCGGTGCAAACAGAGCACACAGACTCCACCACAGAACTCACGCTTCCATGTGCCTGCTCTAAGTGTGCAAGCTCTAAGCAAACACCCATGAAACAAATCACTTACAGTAGATAAAGCAATTTGTTCAGTGTCTCACTAAACTGAAACTTTAAATAGCTCAACGCTTTAGGTTTTCTGCACAGAAAACTCATGGAGAAAAGCAAGTAATTCCTTATTCAGCTTTACGTTAAGGTAGTTGGATTTTATCAGAGGCTCCACCACTGTAATAGCTAAATAGGAAATGTCCCACCAATCTATTTATTAAAATGTTCCTGACCTCACAGCATGACTGTACCTTCTGCCAAACTCTCATCCTGGTACTGCGGTGTTTACGTTTCAAGGAAACATCCTACTTTCTCAGTCCTGCATCAATTATTTTCATCAGTGATTACTTTTGAAGGTTATGGCATTTTGCTGTTGGCTCACAAATGCACATCCTACCTTTTGCGTGCTTCACTTTCTCTAAATAATGCTGTTTCTGTTCATTCGTCATGGCAGAGCCAACCTGTTAATTGTTCTATATTGCTGCCAAGTCTGCACGCCACAGCAGAGCTCATACACAAAAGATGCCACAGCATATGGTGCTGCTTAATCCGAGGTTGTTGTTCAACCTCTGGAGGCGAAGAGGAGTTCAGGCTGCATCACTATTCGCCTCTCGCTGAAGGCGACAGCTACCGCCAACCGCGACAACGGCTCATGATGTGGAAAGCCAAATACTCACTGGATTATGACCATTTGCTCGTGTTACACAGGTCAAGACAGACCAAACTCATAGCACTTGCTGAGAGGTGACTGTGGTGGGCAAAATAAGCAGCATTCACTGCCCAGAGGAAACAGGCACAGGGGTGATGGTAACATCAGAGAGGAAAGAAATACCATTCCGTGGCAAAAAAGGGAATTATTGTTACAAGGCTTCTATGAGTTGTTACCAATAAAGGTGCATAAGGCCAAAGCAATGAGTGTTTCAATCCGTTCAAATATGTGTCCTCTGCAAGGTCCCTTTCTAAGCCCGGGGACACTGCTGACGGAACCCAGTTTGTGCTCTCAACGGGATGTTTGCCAAAAGCCCTCCCAGCCACCCTTACCTGGTCACAGATGAGCTCCCACTTCTTCTCGTTGTCGTACTGCCGCAGCAGCCGGGCTTTGTCGGGCGGCAAGTTCATCGCATTCTGCGGAGAAAGAGAAAGCAAACGTGAGGGACCACAGAGGGCTCGGGCTCAGGCGGAGTCAGACATGAGCAAACCAAGGCAACGTGGCTGTGGTTGCTTTAATTGTTTTATGTGAATTCCTGTTGACAGGGTTATTCAGAAACATTCCCTCTAAATGTCATCTTTGGCCCCAAAAGCGCCAGTGAATCACAAGGCACTGAAGGGCAGGGCTTGACGCTGGGCTATGCTGGGACACAGGAGGAGGTGAGCGACTAGAGCTCAGGACCAGCCACCTCCGTCCGGAGGAGAGGACGGGGCTTCCCCATGCTGCCAGGGCACAGCAGCCACCTTCCACCCCAGACAGGTCCCTGCGGTGCACCACATCCCCTCTTCCCTTCGCCTGCCCCCGCCGGAGCACACTCATAAGGGAAATGCACAGTCCAGCTGCGGGCTGGGGACTGCAGAAGTCCAGTGCTCTCCAAACAAGATCTTGAAATGCCACTTCATTTTATTTCAACAGCGGGACACTGTTCAGGTTTTTAAATGTCACCACATGCAACCTTATCTGGATAATACAGATCCCGGAGGTAGAATTGCTGCTGCCCAGTGACGCTGTGCTACTTGCACACGCAAAGATAACGATCCCAAGACTGTGAATGACAACCTGCAGTAACGAGTTGGAAAGCAGGGAGAGGCAGCAATTAGATGATGCCTATCATTTGCTGGCTCCTTTGATGTCAGTTGAGATATCTTTCCACGGGCAGTTGTCTCGGGTTTGCTGGCACAGGCTGGCTACTCGCTCCCAAGGCAGTTTTCCTACGAGCCATGTCTCTAAATGCGCAGCATAACTGTCGTGCTTACGATCCCGGAGAACCCAGGAACGCCTCGAGAGCTTCGTAAACACCAAGTCTGGAGAGCCTCCCTATCAGCCCAGCGGCGCACAGCAAAGTGAAGTGGCTGAATGAAAAACCCGCTAAGCACCTCTTGGTCTTCCAGCTCGCATTCCCAGACCAGCCGAGTTATCCCCAATTAACCCGTCAGGACCACAAGCCTCTGTCGGTCCATCCCGGACCGCTGCTGGGATGGGAGCGAAGGGCCGGCCAGGCCCTGCAGCACTGCACACCGCAGGCGGGTCAGGCCGGTGCCGCACACGTCTCCAGCGCCAGCAGGCACTACCCTTCCACGTTTAATTTTAAGAAGGCTGCAGGAGGCACAAGAAAAGGCCAGAACCAAGGGCTGTTAAATAAGCCTGCAGTGAAGCAGTAATTAATAAATCGGCATTTAGGTACTGAAACACTCTGCTCTAGAAGCACACATCTTCACAACCTGTGCAACAGGCAGTTTTACAGATTAATTAAAAGCAGGCTGTCGTGGGGATGCTCAGAAACACTCCCGGACCCATGCTCTGCTACAGCCGGACTCGCACAGCCTGGGGCCCAGACCTCCTCCACCTCCTCGCACAAACCCTCCCCCAGGTAACAGAAGAGGAGGGACACGGACAGCCCAAGCTGCCACAAACACCATCAAGAGCATCTGTTACGATCAGCCCAGCCTGCTGGCCCCCCCGTCTGCTTACCTTGAATGGCACACTACAAAGCCAAAATTTAAGTGAGTCCTATAAACAGCTGACTGAGACCCAGGGTGATAATACAACCACAGCAGCCACACCTGAATGCAAGCAGACACACAGGACATACCGCGTAGGAGATGGAGTGATAATTAAAGAATTTCAATGAGTACGTTGAGTTGTCATGCATCAAGAATCGGTGTTTTTAAAGTCCACCATCAGAAATGCACTCCAGATACGGAAGAGACCCAGAGGCAGCGGCACAGGGACACCTGCTCTGATGACACCAGGTCCTAGCCCCCGGTGGGGACCGCAGGTGCCAAGGGCAATCCCCGTGCCGCTGGGACAGCGCGTACAGTGCCGACGGGCACCGCAACACCCAGGCAAGCTTTGGGAGACGAGGGGCTTTGAAGGAAAGCCGAGAGGTTAACTGGCAGCGGCTGGCCATCAATGGCAAAGCTTTCCAACAGTTTCTGCGTGGCTGAGTGCTACGTCCCCATCACAAAGACAAGGCTTTCCCTGCTCGTATTGCAGCGCTTGGGTACGACGCAGGACTACCTTCCCCTACAGCTCCCCAGGGCTTTCACGCCTTGGTTACCTTGCTAACTCGCAGGCCAGACTGACTGTCAGCCTGCTCCCAGCCCAGCTCAGCCCAGCCCAGCCCAGCCCTGGGGGGAGGCAGGCGCAGGGCCGGGGCTGCTCCTGACCCGGCTCCCTCATGGCCACAGTTTCAGATTTCCGTCTCTCTGGGTTTACTGTGCAGCCCGGGCTGGAAACCAGGAGGGCTCGGGCGTGATCCAG